GTGCAGTAAAGTTAACAAAGGGCTGCCGACCAAACAGAGGAGACACACCTGAAATGGGCGGGGCGTACTTGAGATGGGCGGCGCTTCCCGTGTCACTGAAAAACACCATAACTTGGCTACAAAGCAGCTCGGAGACGGGAAAAAGTGGAATAAGGTTAGCACTGAATTGCGTACCTGTGATGGGCGGCGCTTCCCGCGAAAGTCGGTAACTCGGTTCGCGAAGTGTTTGGAGATCGCTGGAAAGTCCATAGACGAATCTGGCAAGAGATCACCATGTTCGCGGCGTGCTGAGGCCCGCCCACAGTGGGCGGGGCGTGCATTTGAGCACGAGGAAAGTATAAAAGTCGTAGTTTGGTCCTAAAGCACTGCAGATGGTGCCAAAAAGTGGATTATGGTCCCCAAGTGATCACATGTAGGAATGTGCGAGGCACTCCCGTTGTGGGCGGAGCGTGCCCCGAGGTGGGTGGAGCCAAATTTAAAAAATTCGCAAAACGCTTCCAGAGCACTCCAGACACCGGGAAAAAGTAGTTGGAAGGTCAGCGAGGGGTTATCAGTTGAGAGCGCTAAGCGGGTGGAGCGTGCCCAGATGTGTAGCAAGATTTGAAAATTCGTACAACGGTTCAGAGCACTCCAGACACCGGGAAAAAGTGATTTGAAATCATCGAGGGGTCACCGGTCCACAAGTGTGAGGCACACCCAGCCGCAGCCAACTTTAAAAATTCCTGAAACGGTTCCTGAATACTCCAGACACCGGAAAAAAGTAGGTCATCAAGGGGTCACCGGTTTACAAGTGTGAGGCATACCCGTTGTGGGTGGAGCGTGCGTCGAGGTGGGCGGGGCCGGTCTTAAAACTCTTCAAGCGGTTCCAGAGCACTCCAGGCACACCAAACCTCCTCTGTGATACGGCCCCGGCCTTGCGGGCGTGTTCCATCGCGCCTACCTGCATTCGTATGATCAAATGCTCGACTAATACCCGGCTTTTCTCTCATCTGTCCACTTGATCAACGCTCCTTACCACCATTCCATACACCGTAATAGTGTTGAAAATAGCACGTATGATGTGGAATATGAACATGCTATTGGTCAAAGAATGTTGACCATCTGTTCAAATAAAAGAAAAGCCGGATACTAGGTGGGTATTGAAATGTGTGGAAAAAGGTAAGCGCGGCGGAGCCGCGCCCGCTCGGCGAAGCCGTGCTGTATCTCAGAAAGAGGCGCGCCGGCGTCAGCCGGCGAAGCCGGCTGGTATTTTGTTAATTGGCCTAAAATGCTAGCAGGGCGCCATATAGTGGGAAAATGGCGAAAAAACGAAGTGAAACGGTCAAAAACCTGCGAAGAAAAACCTTCGTCCTTAATGACAATTTCGGACGAGTTTTCTGTAGACATCTTGCCAATAACCGCTACGGTGGGTACGGCTGCATGTATGTTCCCATATATCCATGCAGCACCGCAGCCGCTTCATACCAATCTCTTCGCTTCATATTTTACTTTGCAAATAAAGCAATACGAGCGTCAGGTACGGTCGTCCATTTGTGGGCGGGCGGGCGTGGTGGGCGCTCGGGTCGTAATGTTGTAGCTCGATAGGGCCCTTCTAAGGGTGCCTCCCTCAGAAAAGGCGCTACGCAGCACCTGCTTAGGGTCGCGGAATCCTATCCTGCCAGGCGGTATCAGTCCTACTCTTCCTAGAGATGTATCGTGCCAACTGCCTTTAATCCTTTTTTGGCCTCACCGCTCTTTAGAAGTCCCCAGAACTTCTGTAAACCTGAATGAAAATTGCATGCGTGGCGTATATCAGAGTGATTGATGAGAACAGGACCGAATGGGGAACGGTTCATCTGTTCAAGGGAAGCAGCAGCTAGCGATGAATGGAAACAGGTGCGGATCGATTCATCGATGCAGCCAGCGGCATTTCTGATGGATTT